TATATATATATATATATATATATATATATATATATATACACACACATATATATATATATCTAGACGATAATCGTTAAACAATATACAGGGTGTGTCTGTACCCACCAAATGTCCTAGAGAACTAACATGGCGACGTTTGTCCGAATGCCGTGGCATCAAAATTACGGAAGCTCCGCTAACGTATCTTAATTGTACCTCACTTGTATATCGATTTTAATAATGTACATATAGCAGACGAGATGTAAATTCCTGACGCTCCGAAGAGAGTCCCGTAAAAGCGCACGAGGGGAATATTTGATAGTCGGACACCCGCGCGTATGTTTACCATCGAGAGAATTGGAAGCTCGCAAACCGTACGGTGGAACATTCTATTTGACTTTTGCTGAGAGAGAGAGAGAGAGAGAGAGAGAGAGAGAGACTCTGTCGCGCTTGCAGGACATCCGGTTCGGATCTCAAAGGCACTTCTCGTGTAGCGGGAACTTTGCTGGGATGGCAGCGCTTTTTCGTATCCGTATCACGTTCACCGTATCGCGTACACTGAGAGAAAAGATTAGAAAATTTATTTGTAGAGTATAAAACTTATTTCACAGAAATCAATGTTTATTTGAGTATTAAACGGCGAAGTAAAATTTTGTTCCTAGCAAATAGGCCAATTAATGAGAAAACTGAGACACATTTCACAAAGATATATATTCCGTCGTGACAAATTTCTTTTTAACCAATAAATATCGAGGAGTGTCGCGAGCAAACGTTTATCTCGCAAGACTTCGGTTTCTTTTTCTCAGTGTATCGTTACTCCCACATGGGGAAAAATGTTCGGTCGAATTTGCAAGGTGTACAAAGCGAGCGCATTTCGGTTGAAGGAAACTCTGCGTTGTAAAATGGATTCGGCAACAATTACCAAAATTAAGTGAATATTTGCCGACAAAATATTTGATTACTGCAACCAACTGAGTTTCGTATACCAAATATATACAATATACGGGATATACTACATACTACTGTATATAAAGTTTACGGAGCTAAATTATTTAGTTGGTAACTCAATAAACACGTCCGTAAACAAATATTGCCTCGGAAAATATTTGCTAAATTTTACTCGTTATCAAATCCTTTATTCAGTGCAGGGTCGCGCGAGTTCCGACCGCGACAACAACTTGGAAAAGGGTTCAGCGCGTTTCCTCTATCAAGATTTCACCTCGCAATGATGATAATAATAATAATACCCAACCGACACCCGCGTCTCGATCGCTTCCCTTCGCGAATAAAAACTCGGCAAGGTTCGACTTCGGCGGTCGCACACTAAAAAAAGGATTTGGTGGTGAGTACGAAAATTTGGCGAATATTTGGCAGACCAAACATTTGATTATTGCAAGCAATTGATTTAATTCCACATACTATACGATATTATAATTCCATATATTATATATATATAGTATACGGAATTAAATTATTTGGTTGCAGCAATCAAATATTTGGTCGGCGAATATTCACGGCAAATTATAGTACTTATTGTCAAATTCATTTTTCAGAGCGCAGGTCGCGCTTGTTCCGTGCTAACGACTACCCGAGTGTCTAGTACAAATGATTCTATACGACAGTATTTTTCGTATCGTCTCGTACGTGCAATACGTTTTTTCTTATCCCCCCCCGAAGAAACGCGGAACGCATCGCGGCCGAACCTGCCGTCGCACCACCGCCGTGTTGCGCTCGACTCTTCGCGCGAAGAACATTCTCCCGGTTTGCGAGTGTCACTCATCTTCTATTTTATATTTTGTTTTCGCACGATCGATCGGTCATCGTGCTCCCGATTTCGCGGGTCCGCCGAAATTGCGACTCGGTCATTGTTCTCTCCGCAGCTGTGACCCCGAAGTACGTCCGTAAAAAAAAAAAGAAAAAAGAAAAAGAAAAAAAGGGGAAGAAAGAAAGAAAAGGGGGAAGGGAAGAAAACCTATTTACCTGTCGACATCCGGATTCGGTACCGCAATATCGCGCGATACTACCTGGTTTACGGCACTGCGGCGCAACAACTCACTGTTGTACACAGTATTGGCCGAGTGTATCGTCGCGTTTATGTAACGGAGAAGAAGACCTGCGTATCGCGGGTCTCGAGATCTCTCCCATCGATCTACGGATCGCAATTGCGAGCGTGGCTGATGGTCGTGGATTGCGACTCCGGCCGGCTCTCTCCCTCGCGCGGAAAACTCCGACCCGACGACTCCTGCGCGTTGCTATTGCCAGGTGAAACGTGAAATTGAGCCCCGTGAATTGTAAATGAAAAGTTATTCAACCGGGCCACGTCCAAGAGACGTATCGAGTCGAGGTTGCGAATTAGTACACGGAAGGAAAATTAGTCTCCACACTCGAGATTCATGTTTTCATTTATAAGCTAGAATATATATACATGTAATTTTATATGAAGATGAAACCTGCTCTCTCTCCCTCTCTCTCTCTCTCTCTCTCTCTCTCTCTCTCATACATGAAGAAATTCTATACATGGTTCCATTACAAATATTATATTCCTGTTCGAGAATATATTTTTAGTGGAAATATATAGATTTTCCTCCATGTAAGCAGCAATTATTTTAAATTATGAAATTGTACAGGGTTTTCCAAAGTTTGCGATAAATATTTTGATAATCAATTCTTTGTAACATTCTAAAGTTCTAATGCGAAAATCGAGGAAGGTCACTACTTATGGTAACTTTTCAATCTTTAACATAACATTATTATTATTATTATGAACATATCTTTGCGGTTAAATCTCAAATAAAAATTCTGTCAAATTAAAGACCATTTACTAATTAATCGGAGAAAATAATTTTGTTGTCTATTTGGTCGTGAGAAGTTCCACTTTTTCAATCGTTTGTATTTCGGAAACTATTGACGCCTCGACATTTTCGTACTTGAACCTTCGTCTTAGAATGTCACGGAGAATTCATCATTAAGATACATTTATCGTGTACTTTGAGACGCCCTGTGTATTCTTGTTCACACACAAAAAAATGAGTCTCGAACTGATATTAATTTTTCCCCGTGTAGGTCGCGCGTAGTCAGCAAACTCGGCGGGTTTTTCGGGCCCCGTTCGGAAACGCGTCGTTTGATCATTGTGATGTAAACAAGTGCGATTTTAATACTTCGAGAAGATCATGGCCGAGGTATGAAATACGAGGATGGGAGGGAGAGTGGGTGGATGAGGAGAAATCGCTCGCGCGCCGGTGACTATCGATAATTGCGCGACTCGGGGAAGCGTCTTCGTCTCGAGTTTGCGCGAGCGATGCTGCGAAGCTCGCGGCACCGCCATTTCCGAATCGTGTGGAAATTATCCGCGGAAACTTCCTAATTGATACCAGCTCGGATTCGTGCTTCTAGGTAGTAATACATCGTACATCGACGCAAGCGTGGCTCGTACGTGCCCGCTTTCGAGGTCTATAACTCGGTCGTTAACTTTAGTTTCGAGCGTTCTCGGCCGGATATTACTGTCGTATCCCTGTATCGCATTTTGGCACAATCAAGTCATTAATTTAGTACCGTGTATGTAATTGTTTGACAGTCTACATGCATATGCATATATGTGTGATTATATATATATATGTATGTATATATGTACAATGTGCACCACCGTCGGGACATTTTAGGAAAGCGACCGCAATATCGAAGTTTCATTTTGTCAAATGCGACGTTCACAACAACTATAAATAAATATTATATATTTCTATATTTCTATATTTGTATTTTATATCGATATATGTTAGAGATTATATTTAACGAAATTATGTAATATATATTACATTATTTATATACCTAGGGGCTACGAAGCTCGGAAGCTTCTCGCGTTCCTCCTAAATATTCCGGATGTGGTGCACAGGGCGTTTACGCATCTCGATTTTTGACGTCGCGCGGGATTCGTCTTGCTCTCGAATGATGAGAGGAACGGAATAGAGAGGCGGAATAAAAGTGACGAGGGGAGTGAACGAGTCCGCGTCTCGTCTTCGGGAATTTCGTCGGGAATCACCGAAGGACTCAAGACGGACCAAACCGACGCGCGCGTTACCGGACAATTTTTCATTTTCCATCCCGTCACGGAGAGATTTTCTCGCACTCTCTCTCACCGAAAGTCGCCGAGCGTCGTCAGCAATACCGTTAGTACAACCCCCGGAAACAATCGATAACAGGTGTGTGTCCGATCTCGGTAGAGTGCGTGGAATTCTCTTCGCGAATCTTCGGAAAGGAGGAAAGTCATCCTGAGTGAAAATCAGTCAGCCCGCTTCTCGTTGCGGATCGATTTCTCGATTGCTGGACAACAGTATTACATGACTGGAACACACACACACACACACACATGCACGCACGCATCAAGCGCGATTCACGCATGAGATTAACTCGTAACTATCGATATCGTAACTAACAGTCACACTCTCGGGGTATTAAATCTATATATGTTTATCGTCTAGTCTTACGTTGTGCTTCTCGTGCTTACTTATCATTACTTCTATTCGGAGCAGAGCTTCTTTCATTATTGTTGGGTATTATTTTTAATACGAATTCCTCTATATGTGAATCTATTCGACTTATTTTTAACCGACATGTCGCGTTGAAGTACTTATTAGGGAGAAAAGAAAAGGAAAGCATCGCCTGGAGAGATGAAGGCGGAAGAAACGAGACGAGAACGGAGGATTCTCGATGAATGATAGTCGATTGGACCTCGCGAAATAAGTTACTCTAATTAGATAGCGATTATAGATCACGGCCCGCGGGGGCCGGTGAAGCGGATGAGCGTCACGTGCGCGCGAACAGCTGGAATAATATATCCGGAAGTCGAGTGCTCGTCCGGGTGTTAGTATTCGTTCGAAGCGGTGTCGCGTGTCCCGAGGGCAGCGCTTACCTGAAATTCTGTCTGATAGCGATTACAAAGTACCGATAGTCATTTTCGGCTGCGAGCCTGCGAGATGAAGTCGTTGAAGCCCGCTTTTACGGACGATCGATCATTTGCGATACTGCGCTATTCGGCGGTACAATTCTGATTATATTTTTCGCGCGCACTCTGATATTACACGTTTATTAATATTACGTATGCGCGCGCGCGCGTGTGTGATATATAAGGATCGTATTATATTTATATCGTTGTATAATTTTATGGGTATGTAAAAAAGGGGGGGGAGACAAATTTACACATTTACATCTCTATGAGATGTTTCTGTGAGAAGTAAGAAAATTTCATTCCGAATTCTTTCGTCGCAAATCGCGGATCCTCCGACAGGCGGGCTGAAGAACGAAGAGAATACAAGAAGAGGAAAGCAACATGCGCCTGATGATAATTGTAACGTGCTCATTTTAATATTAAGCCATTATAACTGGTGTACAGTCGCTGGTGATTTTAAATTGTAATTTCATTTCGTAAAGCCTTTTATATATCGATCTATCGATCGAGAGTTTAATGTTGTAGCAACTTTGACGACTATTGTTTGAAAAAGAAGATGTCGCATATTTATCGCCGTTAGTTTTTAACCGAGGCAAATACATGTACTAAGTTATACATCCCGTTATTGTGTAATATTTTACAATGTTTAATTCAATCTCTTGTGTTTGTTTTTTTTTTCATTCACTCTCTCTCCGACCGGTAATAAGTCTACCGAGATATTATTAGGCTAAAGTAGCACCTATCACATATCGGTTCGTCCGGAATCCGCAAATGACACCGACTCGATCCACGATCGGGTGCGGACGGTTCACCGGGACGATTCAGCCTTGCGTAGATGTGTCTATTTAGTATTTGTAAACGATAATCTCATACATACAAACACACACACACGTACACACACGAGAGGATCAATTGTTCGCGCACAAAACGAACTCTTATTGCGAGAGATCTTAGTGTGGCATTATTGTAATTAGGGTTGTACATGAGCATTATAGACTGAATAATATCTTGCGGACGCATAGTTATGTATTAAAGAGAAAGAAAGAAAAACACGTAAAAAAAAAAAGAAAAAAAAAGTAACGTTGTAGATGCAATCCCGTGTACACACGCCGGTCAGCAACGTGAGAGACGAAGAGACGATGCGGCGGAGGGAAAAAAAAAGGAAAGAAAGAAAAAAACCCTCTTATATATATATCAGCATCCGGACACGACCGCGACATAACGAACCGCTCGACGGCGACTGGTTCTAGCTGGAGTGCTGTAACGGGTCTAAATTGCGAGACGAAAGAGGAGGGGAAGAGAAACTGCAATAAATGATTTCCAGAAGTTCGAGTTTCCACCGAACCCGCCGTTCGTGACTTTTTTTTATTTCATCGTCGTCTCACGGAAACGCGCTCCTAGGACCGACGAAGCGTTCGGCTCGCTTGTGCGACTCTCTCTCTCTCTTTCACGGACACTGTTCAGGGACATGAAGGAGACGAGGAATCCGAGTGAAAAACCGCGCGTAATCGGCGGCCCCGGGAGTGTTGGAGAAGAGAGAGAAGCCCGTCACTCTCTCGATCTCTCGGTGTATCGGCGACGGCGGAGGGGGAGTCGCGGAAGCGACGCATCCATTCGGTCTGTGGAGACGGCGATCGGCCGACGCCTTCCGGTACATCCCGGGATTGCGATTCCTCCGACCTCGAGCGACGAGGACGCCTGAGATATTATTCCAGATGCTTCGCGCGCGCAGCACGAGCTCGCTCTCGAGAGGCCGGGCGCTAGTGGAAAGTAAATCAATGGCAATAAAGGGTAAAACGAAAAGGCTTAATTAAATTCGTTATAGGTGTTTTATAATCTAAGCGCGCGCACGTCCGGTTGCTTCTTTCTCTCATCCCGACTGTTCCGACTCTAATCTCGCGTCTTCGTCGAGGAACGAAAAGTTCGTGGGAGACTGCGTGACCCCCCCGTGATTCTGATCGATTTCCTTTTCTTTCTCTCTGTCTTCTCTTTTTCTCTTTCTCCCTTTTTCTCCTTCTCAAACGCGTGTACATAATTATAGAGTGATAATTGTATCGAGAGAGAGCGCGCGCGTGTGCGATCGATACGAAGTATCAATTTAGAAGGAAGAAAAGAGGAGGCCGGAATTTCGCGCATCGAGAGTATCACGTGATATATCCTCGCGTTATTTCCGGGCGATATCAAAATCTGACTGTCCCAGTCGCCGAGACGAAGGAAAAGAGCGGGAGAGAGAGAGAGGAAGAGATCGAACCTGATGATAGTCAGGAGAAACGAAACATAAATAATAGAGGAAGAGAAAGATCGGTATTCGCGCCGTACCGTACGCACGTATATACGCACACATCGCACGCGCGCCCATTGTCGTATGTAAAGCTCGATATATAAGGACTTTGTAACTCTTAAGGTGACGTTGTGGAGGTAAAAGGAAAAAAGAACATGCCCATGTATACATGCAGACACATATACACACAGACACTCGCCCAGCTATCTACCAGCATACACACATATATATATATACACACACACACACGACACATCTGCAATGTGATATTCTCGTGTCTTGTCCGATGACAGACGTTCATTCTAACGAGTATAGTTGGCGTTTGTCCTTTTTTTCGCGTAGCTCTTAAGGCATACATTTAAGGGAAAACTACATACGTAAGAGATAATCCGAGAGAGTGCACGTGTGAAGGTGCTTGCGCTAAGGAGCAAGCGAAAAAAAAACTGAAAAAGAAAAAGAGAAAACTAAAAAAAAAAGAAAGATAACAGGAGAAAACGACCAAAAATGTGCGAAACCGAGAAACGTGTGCAAGAAAGAGAGATGGAGATTTACTATATTTAATTATATAATTATACGGTATCTCTCTAATATATCACACACACGAGAATCCGTTGTGTGTCGGTTTCAATTCAAGGCATACCGTGTGGGTGTGAGAAACCTAAGAGTATCGACGGAGAGTAAGAGCAGACCCGGGGGGTCGGAAACGACCCGGGCCTGTCGCCGAGAGGGAGATTTCGCGTTTAGGCTGTAGATTCTTCGGGGTTGAACCATCGCTGTGTGGATCCAAGGGTGTGAGTTCTCTACGGAACCCCCTTATCCGTTCGTTCTTCCCGCAACCCCCTCGCCCCTCTGCGCCCTCCCCCTCCCCCAAGACAGTATCTCACCCCTCTTTCCGCCCGTTCCGCCTTCTCGTTCGTCGGGCGAAAATACTGCGTTCTCGCGTGGAAGAGGTTGTGAACGCTCTCGCGAGCTTCTGCTTCACTCAATCTCAACCCCCGGGGATGAATTACGCGGATTAGTTGTAAAACGCGCTTTTTCATAGTCGGATCTATTCTAGTTAACATATCTGTGACCCCGTAATTTTTAGACTATCGACGACGGTTCTCTGTATGCATGCGTGTGTATGTGTGTGTGTTTGTTCGTTCGTTGTGTAGCACAAGGATTTAACAGGATAAAATACTATTTCCTCGTACCGAGATATTTTTAATGCGTTAGTCGCCGGATATTTCCGTTATCGTTACGATGGGACTATCGTTGGTCGCGATACAGTCGCGGGAGACTTCGTTTGCCTTCTCGTCGAAAAGAAAGAGAGAGAGAGATCACCGTTTCTACGTTGATCTTCGGTGTGAGAAATAGTATTTTATTCGGACACGACGAGTGGATGGGGTTAATCTTAGATTTCTTTCCATCGCGCGTTCAATTAGCGTCGCACTTCTCACACGACGCTACTGATTTCGTTGTTACGCCACGCGTTGTCTAATCTCCAAGTACGATTCGGTTCATGCGTTTCTAATTAGAGTCAACCGCACTCTGCTGTGTTTCGATGTACCTGAAACCGGTGGTAAGGGTTCTGTGCGTTGAACCGTGTACTATACTGGAATACTAAGTGCCATTGAAAGAAACGGGCGAAACAGAGAGGAGTACTAACTGTGTCCTTTTCTAAAATATCGCATTATTTCAATTGAAAATATCAGCTCCAAGTATCACATTGGTAATCTCCGTAATTGGTAAAATTGTAATATTATAGGAAAAGTGCACGGGATAAACAAAAGATGTTCAAATTCTGCCATAAAAAATGGTAAAAACAACGAACGTTACAACCGGCCGTAGTTGTGCAAGAAGAGCCCAACCCGCAAAATGATCATCAACTTAATTATTATTTTTTTATATTTTGTTATTAAAAAAGTACTCTATACGTCTTTCTGCATAAAACAAAGAAGATTCAAGTTTTACGGGCGTCTAGAATTAATTAGAAAATAATTTTTACTTTCTGCTAGTTATGCCATTTTTCACTGGTTGCGTTTGTTTTTTACCTATTTTTTTAAGGATTAAGCTTGCCGACGAATACAACGTGTTTAAACAGAAGAAAATGGATGATTGCACGTTTGACTTTTTGAACCGTTGCGGAGAATCTCAGTGCTATTTATACTTTTTAAATCATACGTTAAGTTTTCATCTTCATTCCTCCCGAAACGTATTTCATGTGGATTGGATCTTTCTTACTCAACTGTGACCAATTAAATTAATACATTCGGATGCCGTGGAAAGGATCACAGGAAATTGTTGACCAATCAGAGGTCACTAGAGAAGGAGAAGGAATATAAATAGTACTTATGCTGCCCCCCTCCCTCTTCTTTCCCCGGTTTGTAACACAGCGCCTAACGTTCCAGTATAGTATAAAGTTCAATGGTTCCACGAAGCATCATCTCGTAATTTTCGCGCGTGCAACGCATGCGGGCTGCATCCCCTGCGGGCGCGCACAGCATCCGTCAGCCGATAGCGACTCGACGTTCCCCCGGGGATATCTCGGGGGTTGATTCTCGCAAAATCTCTCGTCCGATATCGAAACACCACCGTTATGATGGGGATCGGTCGGTCGGTCGATGGGGACGTCGAGTCCGATCGTATCGCTGATGCTTCGTTTCCTCCCCATTGCAGACCGAGAGAGAGCACCCTTTGCCCGTCCTTAACACGGTAAAAATCTCGTGTTAACAACGGTCGAAATTTTGATGTCGCTCTAACAAGGTGAATAGGTTGAAGAGTAATGCGTTAACAAGGTAAACATGTTAATTTGTATACTTTTGTCGCATATATTTGCATACGTATTTTCCGTGTTGAAGTGACGCAAACATTTCAGCGGGCCGTTTTTAACGGAAAATTTCTCACCGTGTAACTCATTTCGTTCGCGCCGACCGCGGGGATGCCGACACGTGTGTGTCTCTCCAGCCTAATTTCCCGAAAATGAGGAGAACCCGGGGGGGTGGCATTGTCAAGCCCCCCGGGGCGCGGGAGTAGTCCGCGAAATGAAGCGTGTTACATGCCATCGTTAGTCCGTAAGCGCGTTCATACTTATTTTTCTATCGTCAATCGTATCATCGTTCTGTCGTAGCTCGTAACGCTTTATTACTCGTAGTCGTCGTATAGTTTTGCCATTCGTGTCTGCCGAGCCTGCCTTGATTCCTCGGCCCGTTACTGATAGTTGTTACTTGAAACTTGTTTCAGACCAGATACTCAGACTCGAATTCAGAGTTGGATGTGAGTTTTTTCAACTTGAATAGCGTTCACAGATGTAACGTCAAATATATTATGCGATCCAACTGAACAGTTCGGATCTAACTCGGAATGAAAATCTGAAACGTTCGGTTTTAACTCTGAACAAAGGTCTGTAAAGTTCCGATCCAACTTCGAATGAAAATCGTATTCTGAGTATCTCGCATGATGACGAGTTTCAAATGACAGCCATCGATACGGATCCCCGACTTTATCGATACGCTACGTTTCGCCGTTTTCACGACGCCTTATTCTCGATCGATCGATCGCTTGATTTCCTCTGTCGCAGTCCTGTTCCTCGCGCTACGTTCCTCGGCGTCTTCGCGAGGAAATCACCGCCGTTCCTCAAAGGCTCGAAATTAACGCGCAGGAGCGGACTCTTTTCGACTGACGCGTTCCGCGGTCCGTATCGAACCAATAATACTCGAGATACTCGTCTCGCGCTCATTTCGGACGAAGCTCTGCGATGGGGCTCAAAAGAGGATGAATCAAAAGGGGGATGAAGATGAGGAGAATTCGAATATACGATACGTAACTAAGAGTGCGACGTGATATTAAATTAATGAACGATCGGAGATACGCCGCGGGTCGCATAGCCCAGCTGTGGTTACGAATAAATAAATTATAACGGTTATTCCGAGAGAGACGCGACATATTTATCGGATGCGCGCGATATTTATTCGGGAGCATCGCGGTATTCGTTCGTATTTAGGGGAATACACTCTCCTCTCTTTTTCCGACGAAGGTACTTTATCTCTCGCGGGGGGTTTTCAATTGCTTTCTCCTGAGGTATCTTCTCTCTTGGATGCGAGTAATTGCCTGAGATTACGAGACCAAGATCGCTTGTTTCGATATTAAGCTTAAGAAAGAAATAAAAAGACAAAGGGCGTTACTTTTAACGACTTATTAACGACTTTGAATTATACTTTTAAGGCTTCCGTTTCGGAGACGCGAGATCTTCGATTAAAATTATATATATATATATATATATAATTTTTACACACTTATGTGTGCAAAATTGTAATTTTTGCACACTTATGTGTATAAAATTGTAATTTTCGTCCACTTATGTGTGCCAAATTGTAACTATATATATATATATATATATATGATTAAGAATACTTTTCTCGCGCGCGATATTAAGCCGCAAGCGCTCCTCCGATCTTGCGATAGCTCTTTATTTGACGATGTTTGCGCTTAAGTTTATTTTTATAAGCGACTTAGGGAACGCCGATATCTTGTTTCTTCTCTTTTCTTTCCTTTTTTTCTTCTTCAAATTGTACTAGGCGATTGTGCGTACATTCGATAATCTTACACGGTAAAACACATCCATATCTCTATCGACCTAAGAATCACATCTACCTTAAAAAAAAAAAAAAAAAAAAACTTACGAAGGAATTTCTCAAGAGCGTTATTTTCTAAGAAAGGAAAACACAACGTCCTGCACAGTGATCCTAATTATCTTTACAGTTAATTGTACATTCTCTGATTGTCGCGGTGATCTAAACGTGAGTGAATTTCTACGCGTGAGCTAATAATTTATTTTCACTTACAACAACTCTCACAGCCTGCGAGGCTTCGTCCTCAATGCAATAACGTTACCCCGTATTACAATTTGTATTTTTTACTTGATCATAACTTCCCCTCTCTCCCCTTCTTAGACGCAAGATTTAATCGTAACTCCGCGAGAATCAATGATGAACCATTTAATCTCGAGCAAAGTGCGCGAAGAAAAGTAAGATCGAACGTTCTACAAAAACGACAAGATCCTCCGTGTTAAAGCTAAAAAATTTCTCCTGTGTATAGAATGTATTATATACATATATACATATATGTATATATTTCCACTATTATATATACATATATATATTATACTTATTTATTGGATTATATATATTGTAGAGGAGAGATCGACGAATACGTGTCTCTTATATATTTTATGACGTCAATAACAGTACTAATCGCACCAATTCTAGTTATTTATATCGCTTAGCAGTAATTATTTACTATCCTCGATAATTAAACTTTGTGTTCCGTCAAACAATCTCGATGCAATCTATAAGTGCCCGTAAGCAGATTATCAGGCGGTCTCGTTATATTTACTAAAAGCTTATTAAATCGATATAAGGTAATCTCTCGGGAGCTCGTCGATCGAAAATTATCTACCGACCTTTCGTAATAAATATAATAATAATAATAATAATAATAATAATAATACTATTAATAATAACGATGAGAAAAAAACTATACTAATCTTTAATAATGTTAGAGCAATAATGGCTGTCTAACTTTAACACTGCGTGCGTGTGTTTGCGTGCCTGTGTAATCTAAACCGGCTGTCTGTATGATGATTTAACACGAACTTCGAACAGTAATTACTTTTCGTAATGCGACACAATCCGCTTCGGGAGTGAACTCGCGCGACTGACCGAATTTATTACGCGAACCGACGCGCCAATTCAATGAAAACCCGAAGTCTCGCCAATCCGCGCGCGTCCCGGGAACGAGGAGGGGTGAAATGACGATCTAATACCGACGTTACCGACAATAACGCAGCGACGTGTCGCGCGCACTATCACGTGCAATTTGCAACACGCATACAAACGCGTAAAAGTAATGACATGATTACGCAAAATCACACACTTGGATTTGCGGTATTCTGCTTGGCGAAATGTTCGACGACAGTTGGTTCATATCAGTTGTAACTATTTCTTCCCTTCGGCTGACACTTCAGCTTTACACGTGAGAAACGTGTCTCACCGTATCGTGATTACGTCAGACTTGGCGGTCTCCGGTTCAACGGTTAACGCACGATACATCATCGATACGTTTGTCTTCTTGCAACCGCTCCTTTCTCCTCTTCGAGGGTCATATAGCTGTGAAACAGTTGCGTCTTCGAGAGTCGTGGGATTCGGAAAACGAGGATGGAGATCTACTTTCTCGCACGTTGCAAAATAACAATTCGGGCCGTACGTTTGCGGGGTTAAAGGTCGGAACATTCAAATGTTCGCTCCCCNCCCCCCCCCCCCGTCTGTGAAATTTCCATCTTTTGGTGGTGTCCCGCGATCGGTGAACTCTGTTCTACACTGGAATGTTAGGCCAAATGGAGGAAAAGGGGTGAGACGGAAGAGAAGTACCAACTCTGTCTTTTTCTATCCGTCGTACTGTTCGAAAACGCCAAGTTATTCGAAATATCGCACTCGTAACCTTCGTCAACCTCCGTAATTGATAAGAATATAATATTATTAGAAAGTGAAAGGACGAACGAAAGAAACGGTGAAATTCCGTGGCGTGAAAAATAGTGAAAACTGAACGATATTGTCCGAGGGTCATTTTTCACAAGTAAGTTGTGGTGCATTCGAATGTTTGTAGAAGAGGTCGCGGGAAATCGTTGGCCAATCAGAAACCACTGGACGGAGAAAGAAACGGTACATAATCTGTCCACCCTTTACCTCTTCGTGGCCGGTTTCTCAACACGGCACTTAGCGTTCCAGTACGGTACATAGTTCGTTGGCCGAAATCTTACGAGAAGAAAAGAAGAAGACAAAGCCGTCTGTCGTCGGAGTCGTTCGTCGCGGAATTGAAACATTGCCATTGTCTCGCCACTGTAATTATTATTGTTATTATTATCGGCGTCACAACGCGCTACACTCTTGCTATCTATCGCTGATTATTCTGCCAGTGTTACTGTCACCGCTGTGTTATATTATCTATCGCTATTTATTGTTCACACTGCTACTATGACATACTACCGCTCTACTACTACTACTAATATTATCACGGCTGTTAGTATTTATCGTGTCTAAACTATACATACCGCTGCTCCTCTCTACCACCACTAATTACTAATTATCGCCGCTCTGTATACTTATACGTCGCCGTTCGCGCGTCCACGTGTGCAGACAACTAATTTCACTTTGTTCGAAATGGCGCTATCAAGCTCTCGTAATCAAGCTAAGTACAAAAAGCCGAGCTAGTTTAGGACGTGAAATCAGCGGGCGAGTTTCTTTATTATTAATCCCGCGAGTCGGAACAACGCTCTGCCTACCTCCGAGGCGCCGAATAAATAATGCCGCAGCTTTTCTTATTTTCCTACGGAAATACCGGGATCGCCGGAGGCTGTTCGACGACGCGTGCGAATTGCACGGAGTTACTAGATGTGTCCTCTCACACCTGTACACACATACACACACTGAGATCAAGATTTCTTCGAATTTAATCGCGTTTTTTATCGCGTCCAAACCAATCTCATCATTGGCACGTCCCGAAGAAACTAACGGTTCGATTAATAAGTACGATTCTTAGACTTTTCAACGAATATGTATCTTTATCTCAAATAAAAAAATAAAAAGTCTGTATAATATAAAAAAAATTTGCTCGAAACGAAAGACAATTTTCCTATAAAGAAATTGTTCCATTTTACGTATTTATTGCAACCAAATAATGTTTCATTTGGTTAAAAGATTATAATTTGGTTATAAGATTTTTGCTCACAACAAATAATATCTCGTATATGTTGTTTCGACGAAACAAATTTTAGTCAAATAAATAGAAATGCTAAATCTAAAGATACCTTTTTCTCTGTGCACACACACACACACACACGGGCGCATTTCAACTTTGCGCTCGAGAGCCGGCACTTTAAGTTCGGAGCACAAGTCGTACGGGGAGGAGACATTTCGTCGTTACGACACTTATCAGGGAGTGAGCGAACTATTTAGGCTTAATACGACCGTTAGAGCTTGGCAGCGGGACGGGCACGCTCAACGATTAACCCTCGGTAACCCTGACGCGTTGGCGCAACCGTTGCCTCGAGCGCAAACGCGAGACGCGACAGTGTAACACACACACATACGATAGCCGCTCTAATTACACACAGACCGGTTCGCGATGATGCGCATGGCATGGGATCCTCTCCTGGGGTTCCCGGCGCGCGGCAAAAACCACGCTCGCCCCGAAGAGCAGTCACGCCTCGTCGCGTCGAGGCCACCCCGGTTATTGACGGTTAATTACGGCTCCGCGCCGGAGTATATCTCTCCGAAATAGACATCTGTCTGAAATGAACGATCCACGCGAAAGCGAACCGCACACGGATGTACCCGGTGGTGTGTCGCTCGAAGATGACTCTTCCGGGTCGCCGCGCTGTCCTCCCTCGTACGTCAGCTTCGTTCGTTACTTCGGAAAGTCGTGGCTCTCTCGGTGACCTCTCCTGCGCGCTCTCCTAACGATCGCGAAGTAGAGAGCGAGGTCGCGAGAGAGACCACGGGTGGCGACCCCGAGGACGAAAGTTGTTCAAAAGATATATACTCCACACACACACACACACGCGTTATATCCCCGATCGACGATAGCAGGATAGACGAAGTCTAGGATACACACCTAGTCACAACGACTTTCGCGACATCCTCCGCAGCTTTTCGCTCCGGGCTTTCGTCTCGCTGACGGCTTCCACTCTCTCTCTCTCTCTCTTTCTCACGCGCGCTCCCTCTCGTCGCTGGTCTGTACAAATCTCGCCCAGCGATTCCCTGTGTTCTCGCGACCTCGAGACGAGAGAGAGGGCTCGGGGGAAGAGCCATCGAGTGTCTGTCGCGCGAAGGGAGCTTCCGGCGACCCTCTGAAGGAAGGGGGTCCCCGTGATATCGCCGATTATTCACGACCCCTCTCAGGCTCATCTCGTCTTCTTCGAGCGCTTGGAGGAATTAAAAGTCACCGTTTCTCCGATCGACCCCCCGGTCGCTCTTCGCCCTCGATTAATCGCTACTGATGCGGAAAGGCTTTTTTTCATCGAATAGGCCGATGACGCGATGAGAGAAAGAGAAAGAGAGAGAGAGGGGGAGTATCGGACGCGTCGATCTTCGGAGATCCGGATCTCACGAGAGAGCGGAGAATAGATGATTCTCACAGCAGCAACAGCTCGCTAACTAACTTGACGCGTTCCGTGGGACCGCGCGGTTTGGGGGTCGATCGACCGTGGCGATAGCTGAAATTCGCGACGGACTGAGTTTCTGATAATTGCTGGTGAAGCTACCGTGGCGAAGCTTATTCGAGCGGCTTGCAGTTCTACGATTTCCCGGCGATCCGAGCGATAACGGCGGAATCGATCAAGCGACATCGCCCGTCCACGATGGCGACAAATGTGCAATATATACACGTATCACTCACTGACACACACACTTTATGTACACTCGAGACCCGGCAGGGGAGGACTGTTATAGTGGTACTTCTCTGTATTCCGTACTCGTAGGACGGTACCTCTTCGATTAAGTTTAAGCTCCCGCCTCTTGCACGGAAGAAAAGATTAGTCTTAAATCAATGATGGATATTTTCATTTTCGGGCGTTCGTTCGCTCGCTCGGCTTCCCGGAAACATCTGGCTACACGGAGGAAAATTTCATTAAAATCAAATCTTAAATCAAGAATAGATATTCTCGCATATAAACAGGAATATCATAATCTTCTTAGGAGGCGCTTAAATCTTGATTGGATCGAATTTATATCGACGTATTACCCGAACTCGACTCAAGACTAAACAATCTCCTAAGAAGATTGTAATATTCTTGCTTACATATAAGAATATCCATTCTCGATTTAAGACTGATTTTTCTTTCCCGTTTACCGTTCGTTGTAGCGACTAGTCATTCTGAACGTCTTGTCTGACTTGCATCTCGTTCGCCACTTCTTCGGCGTGTGTTTCGCACGTCGTTGAAGCGTGATATAAATTGCGTTTTAATCGTATTAAAAAATTCCCCGAAGGAGAGAGAGGAAACCCCTCGGAGACGCTGTGGCCGAGGTGGTGGACACGGGGAGTCCGATCGTCGTGGGAGAGGGAGATGCGAGAGTCTCGCGTCTCGCGATATTAAACTCGACGAGTATGGGACG